TTGCCGTGGCGGCAGCCGCCACCACAGCGCAAGGGTCTTCCCTGCAAATGAAGGTGAGCTTCGTCCGCCATTTTCATAAAATCATAGAATGTTAAGAGTTGGAAGGGACCTTGCAGGTCATCTAGTCCAACCCCCTGCACTCTCTTCCAGCAACCATTTTATGACAGCCGTTTTGTGTCAAAATCCCAGAGGTGCCCACAGGTTGAAAAAGACTGGGGACCCCTGTGCTCAAGGCTTCAGGGCCCTGCTCATCAGCAACGTGCAGCGGGGAAAAACCTCACTTTTGGGGGAACCCCTGATTTTATTAGCTGTTGTAGATTTTCCGGGTTCTGTCGCCGTGGTCTTGGCACTGTCGGACCTGATATTTCGCCAGTAGCTGTGACTGGCGTCCTCAGAGGTATAACACAGAAAGATGGAGTCCTCTCTCTGTCAAGGTGAGAAGAAAATGGTAGGCAGGTAATTTATATCTACTCAGGAAGGTGGGGTAGGGCTGAGTTATGATCGCGTCGGAGTTCCCCAGGCTGTGACATGCTGATGGAGGAGCTTTCCTGAGGAGGTTCCTTTGCATACTGATTGGCTGTTGAAATTCTAATCTTATCTGTAGTGCTATTGTCAGATGTAGAGCCTTTTGTGTTTTTCAGGACAGGAAGCCATGCCCTATTTATTTTCAAACTCTCTTCTTTCCTGTTGAAATGGTGTTTATGTCTATGAATTTCAATAGCTTCCCTGTGTAATCTGACATGGTCATTGGATGTGTTGTCCAGCCTTTCAGTGTCTTGGAAGAAGATACTGTGTCCTGTTTGAGTTAGGCTATGATCAGCCACTGCTGATTTTTCAGGTTGGTCCAGTCTGCGGTGTCTTCCGTGTTCTTTTATTCTTGTCTGGATGCTGTGCTGTGTTTCTGTATTGTATATAATGCTGCCGTCTTTCTCGTGTGTTAACGCTTTGAATGCCATGCTGCTTGAGTGAACCTGTGGCCGCTTGTATGTTTGCCCCAAGGAGGATGTGAGAGAAGGAGCCCTTCAGCGGCTTGGCTTGACTGGTGCAGGCTGAGCTGTGGTCTTGCTAGACCCCGCAGGAATCAGGCCGGGGAAGAAACCTTCCCTTCCCAAGGCCTAGGAGAGGCCTAGCTATTCGGAGCCCAATGGCCTGATATGGTGCTATTTGCTTCTTTTATACCCCCACCTTCCTTCCCAAATGGGGACCCCGAAACCACATAGAGCTGTCTCTTCTCCTCCCCTTTGTCCTCCCAACAACCCTGTGAGGTAGGCTGGGCTGAATGTGCGTGACTGGCCCAAGGTCACCAAGCAAGTTTTCATGGCAGAGTGGGGATTCGAACCCGGGTCTCCCAGCTCCTAGTCCAACGTCCAGGGTTCCCCAGCCTTTTTGAGTCTGTTGGCACCTTTGGAATTCTGATACAGGCTCGTGCGCACAAACACAAAATGATTGCCACAGGAGAAGAAATTGGATTCGTACCCTGCCCTTCACTTGGTGTCTCAGAGCAGCTTACAACCCCCTTTCCCTTCCCCTCCCCACAACAGACACCCTGGGAGGTAGGCGGGGCTGAGAGAGCTCTTTCCAGAACTGCCCTTGAGAGAACAGCTCTGTGTGGAGAGGAAAGGAAAGGAGATTGTAAGCCACTCTGAGACGCCGCGTGAAGGGCAGGGTATATATCCAATCTCCTCCTCCTCTTTGTTCCAGTTTTGGTGGAAGCCAGTTTGGGAGCAGGAACCAGTTTGGTGTAGTGGTTAGGAGCACAGACTCTAATCTGGGAGAACCGGGTTTGATTCCCCCACTCGTCTTCCACATGCAGCTGCTGGTGTGACCTTGGGTCAGTCACAAGTTCTCTCAGGAGCAGTCCTCTCAGCGCTCTCTCGGCCCCACCGACCTCACAGGGTGTCTGTTGTGGAGAGGGGGAGGGAGAGGATATTGTAAGCCACTCTGAGACTCGGGTAGTGAAGGGCGGGGTATAAATCCAATCCCTTCTTCTTCTGTCTCCAGCTGGTGGGGGAAAGCCAATGGAGAGACAGAGGGGGGTGTCTGCTATAAATGACAGACTTTTGGTTTTCCCCAAAAGAGATGAGGTTTTTTTGGGAGGGGGGGTGTCTAGCTTGTAGCAGGCAGTCTCCTAGATTTGCCAGTTCTGGGTTAGGAAATTCCTAGAGATTCTGGGAGAGGAAAGTGGGGAGGCAGGGACCTCAGCTAAGTATCATGCCATGGAGCGGCCATTTTCTCCAGTCGTCTGGAGACCAGGGGTCGTTTCCTGCAGGAGTGCACAGGAGCGGAGCTCCAGCAGTAAAGAGCCCAGGGGGCGGGCACATGCAACAAGCCCCACCCCCTGCTCCCAGCAGCCCTCAGTCAGAGCAAGAAGCAGCCAGGTAAGTTGCAGAGCTCCCCCACGGCCCCCAGGTCCAAGACAGTCCAGTGGCACCTTTAAGACCAAGTTTTATTCAGGTACCACCTCTCCCTCCTCTACGAGGACAGATGTGCACGTCCCGTCCCCCCCCCAATAGCTAACCATCCAAAACAGTCCAGTGGAGCCTGAGTGGTGGGTGTTGCCTTCTGATACACTTCCGGGGATGTCAGGGGGTGTGGCATATGCAAACAAGTTATGCTAATGAGTTATGCTAATGAGCTCCTGCACCTCCTTTTCTACAAAATGACCCCTGCAGGAAAGCAATTGTAATCACAGGAGATCTTGGGTTACCACCTGGAGGGTGGCAACCCTGTGCTGTCCCCAGGGAACTGAGTGGGTGCTTTCCTGTCCACAAAGGAAGAGAAGAAGAGATTGGATTTATACCCCGCCCTTCACTACCCAAGGGAGTCTCAGAGCGGCTCACAAACTCCTTTCCCTTCCCCTCCCCACAACAGACAGACACCCCGTGAGGCAGGTGGGGCAGAGAGAGCTCTGACAGAAATGGCTCTTTTTCCAGAACAGCTCTTATCAGAACTACGGCTAGCCCAAGGCCATCCAGCAGCTGTGATGGGAGGAGTGGGGACCCGGTTCTCCCAGATTAGAGTCCGCGCACTTAACCACTACACCACACTGGCTTCCCCCAAAAATGTAAACTTGAAATCGCCCTGTAAACCGGCCCTTTCGTCCATCTTACAGACAGATCCTGGTAACCGAGGAACACCTCAAAATGTGGGGGCGTGGCAGGGACAATCGCAGGAGACGTCTTTTTTTCCCCGAGTGCAGTTTTGTATTCCTTTTTACTTGTAAAGAAAGAAAAGAAATCAAGTACACGCTTTTTTAAAATTTTTACACGTATGTATTTATATATAGGCACATTAAAAAAACCATAAGTTTCTTTTCTAACGAAATGACATTCCTGGTCTGTGTACCATCTGTCTTTTTTTTTAACAACCCCAAAAAAAGACATTTAAGAAATGAGCAGTGGAAAGGGGGGGGGGGGGGCGCGAAAAATTTTCCGTGTCGGAAACTAAAACTGCTCGGGTCTTCGGGGGGGGGGGGGGCACCCACGATCCGGCAGTGTTCCACTTCAACATCAACACGAACAAAACGGGAAGCGGCTCGTAGAAAAGGGCTTTCGTCTTCTTTGGCATCGGTTTCCCGATACAAGCCGCCACACCCCCTTCGCAGCTCGGGTCTACCCCACAGGGAAAAATCCGGGTTGAGGGAGGGGCAACTGAAGTTAGGAAAATGACCGGGGGGGGGGGGAAGAGATTTAAAACCTCCTCTAGCGCCGTTGTGCCAACCTACATCCCTCTTTCGTGGGCGGCTTTAATATTAAACACAGAAAGTGCGAGCTTCTAATCACGGCTCACCTTTGGTGTGGCACTGCCAAGGTTTCACAGCGACTGGCGTAGCTGGCATCTGCCCCGGCCCCCGAATGAAGGAACCTGTTCACAATCCGACGTGCTGTCAGCTGGTCAGCACCCTCCCACCTCGATAGGACTCGGGGATCCCAAGGCGACAGAACGGCGCCATTTCCACAGGGATACTTGCCCCCATTTGCTGCTCTTGGGAAGTGGGTATTTTCCCCTGCAGCACTGTGGTGCATCTATCGGCCTCTGGGGCTTTATTTGGCTTATTTTCCTATCTTTCCCAAACCCGCTTTACTGCAAATTTTTGGGAATGCTCGCAACCAAGCCTGGATGGCTGCTAGTAACTTGGGATTGGGGGGGGGGGTAGGTTCCCCCCCCCCAAATGGGCCACTGAATATTATAACAATACAACCATCTGTGTTTCGGGTTCACTGAATTCCTGGTTTTCTTCCTTCCTTGGTAAGCATCTTGCCCCTTCAATTGCAGGCATGTCCCCTTATATCTCTGCAATGAAAGGGGCATAAGGAGATGTCTCTGCAGCGAAAGAGGATAGAGGCTTGCTTTAATAAAATAAGAAGGAAAGCTGGCAGTTTAGGGGACCTGATGTAACCATCTGTGCGTAATAATAATAATAATCAGTAGCTGATTTTGAAAAAAAGAAAACCTGGAAGATTCCCAATGGTGAGGGGCGGGGATGGCAGCAGCCAGTTAAGGCACTGGGGGGCAGGGAAATTGGGGGGGGGGCACCTTGCTTCACCAGACTAATTTGAGGACCACCCTGTTGAAAAACAACCAGAGATTCATTCCACTTGTACAGGAGAAAAAGATGGTGGAGGGGCTGTAAAGCTGTTGGACCCTGCCATTTTGAGCCCCCTTCCCAAGAATCACTGCAAGCACTTCCACCCCAGAATTCCTAACACGTCAGGGAGAAAGGTTCTATGCTGGCTTGCTCCCTGCTATGTTAGCTTTCTGCTTGCGGGGATTTCCTCACCACCACCACATTAAAGGGACTTTCCAAAATGTGATCCCCCCTACTTGGCAGTGCGGACCACCACAGCCCATTTGTTTTATCCGTTCTTCTGCTCACCAGGGCTCTAGCCCAAAGGAGCCAACAGGATTCCTCCACAATTTAGGCAGATGTGTTGAGAATCGGAAGTCTCGGCTTAAAATGGTTGGAGAAGTTGGGTTGTTGTTGGGTTTTTTTGGGGGGGGGGGAGAGATGAAAATAAAAAAATGCAGCAGTACAAAGGAGAAACACACATACACACATTTTCAAGACATCGTATGGCTTGCGACAAAGAGAACACTCGGGAATCTCTCAAAAGGCCTCGACAAGTTCCCCTCTTAAGGAAAACCTCACCTCTCAACAAACTGAACGAGGGGCAATCGGCACAACCACCTGGCCAGAAGCTGGGCACTGTTGTCCCCACCCCTTTCTGGGACACGTCCCCTTTGAGGGGGCAAAAGGAGTTGTCTGAACAGTTCACTTGCCATCTGCTTAGATACGTTTAGACTTTCTGCATTCTTATTTTCCTTTCCCTGTAAATCCCTGTGTCTTTGGAGTTCTTTTGCTCCCTCTAGTGGTCGATTCGGTAGGACGCCAGCTTGTGCTCAGCATAACCACCTGCTGTTGAAATCCGCGGGGAGATATGCCGGGCATAAAACCTGTGTAATAGCAAATCGGCCACTAGAGGGAGCAAAATATATGTGGGAAAGCGGGGGGATCCCCAAAGGAACAGAGACTTACAAGTAAGGTAAATGCGAACGTGGAAAAAGCCCCCCAAATGTGAATCGGGAACCCTTTCGGCTAATCCGCTTGCAGTTCAGTTTGGAAACGGGGGCAGGACGGGGTGTAATAAGAGAGGTGTACCCTGCCCCGGCCAAAGTGGTCATGTGAACTGGCCTCAGCGAACTGGGGCAGCTATAATTAAGAGCTACATATTAGAAGTCCTACCAGCCCCTCCCCTACAGTGACCCAGGAAACTCCGAATGGCTCACTCAAATCTCTGGAGCGGGACAAATCCCCCCCCTCCCCCGAATCAGCCTTTTAGTGCTCAACGGGGGGGCTCAGAACTGTCCAGATCAACTCACGCCGCCTGTTGTCCCCCCAACAGTTTTTCACAGCTGAAGAGCTGATCCATTCTGCCCACGGGTCAGAAGAGCGCTTAGGCTGCTGCCCTGCACCGGAGGCTCCCCGTCGCACCGTCAAAGCGCCGCACAGCCGGGGGAACGAGAGGCCCCTTCGGCATGGGCCGCTGTCTCCTTTTCCCACGGTGGCTGCAAAGACTTTGGAGAGGTTTGCAAACGACAGGGCCACGCTGAAGCGGAAGAGAACACAACGCGGCTCAGGGGACGGCCTCTCCCGACACTGCCCTCCCTTCCGGAGGTCTGCGGGCACAGAGCTCTCGCACACCACGGGTGCGGACTCGAGGCCGAAGAGACGACAGGGAGCCGGTCCGCGCCTCGCCTGTCGGCTGGAGCCACAACCGTCCATTAAACCAGAGGGCTAGCGGTGCGGGGGTTTGGACGTGACGAGCGGGCGCGGGGGGGAGGGTGGAAGTAAACAGAGCGCCCGTACCCACAAGACAAGCTCCATAAGAGCGGCACGAGACAAGGACGCCCTCTGCGACGGGCGGCCAGTAAACAGCTGAGGCGGTGCTTTTTTTAAAACTTCAAGCCGAACTGGAAAATATAGATGTAGATATGTATAGAAAAACCCTAGACAGTCGGCCGGGCTTTGCGAGGGAGGGCGAGGATCCGGCCTAGTCGAAGCCGTGCCATTCGCTTTGCTCCGAGTCGTATTCCAGCTCCGCGCCGACGCACTTCACCCCCTCCAGCAGCATCGGCGTGCCGTGGTGGCGGTCTGCAAGAGAGCAAAGGGGAGGGGGACCAGAGTTAGACGCAAGCCCCCCCCCCCCTGTTCCCCTGAGGCACAGGAGAGGAAGGAGGAGAGTTGGTTTTTCTACCCCACTTTTCTCTACCCGAAGGAGTCCCAAAGCGGCTTACTATCGCCTTTCCCTTCCTCTCCCCGCAACATCGTCATAGATCCAGAGGGGTCAGCCGCGTGAAGTCTGTTGCTGCAAAATAGTAAAAAGCCCAGGAGCACCTTGAAGACTAACAAACTTTAATGGGGCGTAAGCTTTCGAGAAAAGCTGGTGACGAAGGGCGCTGTGTTTCTCGAAACCTTACGCCACAATAAAGTTTGTTAGTCTTCAAGGTGCTCCTGGGCTTTTTACTGTTCTCCCCACAACAGACACCTCGTGAGGTCAGTGGGGCTGAGAAAGCTCCGGGAGAACAGTGACTGGCTCAAGGTCACCCAGCGGGCTTCATGTGGAAGAGGAGTGGGGAATCGAATCTGGCTCTCCAGATTAGAGCCCGCCGCTCTGAACCG